TGGTGTAATTAGGTGAGCACCACAGAAAAAATCTGTCTATCTTAACACATTATTAACCAGAGATGTTTCAATATGTTTTCAGACAGTGAAACAACTAACATCACCATGCAAAACTGTTAGAGCTTAAAATCGATCAGAGGTTTATTGTACAACTTATGATTATTGTTATCATTCACATTTTGCTCTATTAAGCTTTTGTTCCAATCTTGTGTATCTTATAAATGGAAAATTTTCAAAAATGATGCATTGTGAAATTTTCAGTGAAGAATTTTTTTGGTGAATTTTATGCAGATACTTTCTCTGATTATCCGAGCAACATATATACTAGTGTCGCAGAAGATGATAGTTCTTAAGAATATAGTTCTGATTCAGATGATGTGAATATTAGACCAACAAAAAGAAAAAAAATCCTTAAGGACTGGTTCTGATAGGGAAAGTAAAAATGAAATTCATGGTGCTGGAGATTGCTCCTTAGCTTCTGAAGAAGACTGAAATGAATACAACCTTTCACAAAAATTTGAAGACTTTACAGTCATGTCAGGTGTTACTATTGAATGTAGTAACCCACAGAGTGTTAGTGAGATAACAGAATTAAGTTTTGGTCAGAGAAAATAATAATCACCAGCCATAGGCGCTGGTTTCTGCAAAAATCCCTCAGCCAGTCATGAGTTAAAAATCAACTCATTTGGGCTTCCCTGGGGGTTCAGTAGTAAAGACTCTGCCTGTCAATACAGGAGACCCGGGTTCGATCCCTGATCCACAAAGATCCCATATGACCCAGAGCACTGTGGAGCCTTTGCCTTAGAACCTGTGCACTACAACTACTGAAAACTGAGCTCCTAGAGCCCGTGCTCTGCAACGAGAATCACCACAATGAGAAACCCACACTTTGCAGCTAGAGAGCAGCCTCCCCTCACTTCAGCTAGGAAAAAGACCCACACAGCAATGAAGATCCAGCACAGACAAATACACACATACTTCAAAAAATAAAATCAACTGATTAGTTACCTTAATTACATTTGCAATATCCCTGTGCCATGGAAAGTGACTCCAGGGGGTGGAGACCGTGGCCATCCTACGAGGCCACCTGCCTCGGGACGCTGTTGCTGTTTGCCAGCTCCCGGAGTCACTGCACAGGGCCCTGATGGAAGAATCCAGCCCCCATGTGTCTGCAGCTAAAAAATAATTTCCTCTCCTCTCTCCCCCTACTTATGACCCATTGTATTATTAGTTTCCTGCGGGTGCTACAACAGGTGATCACAAACTTGGTGGCTTAACACAACATGCACCCTCCTGCAGTTCTGGAGGCCAGATATCTGCAGTCAAGGAGTCGGCACAGGCACATCTCCTATAGAGGCTCCACGGTCCAGGTGCTTCTGGGCTTGTGGCTGCATCACTCCCAGCTCTGCCTGTCTCCACCTCATTTCATCTCCCTGTAGGTCTGGGTCAGCACTCCTGTGTTTTTGCCTCTCTGTTATAAAGACATGTAGGGTCCACCCGGATAATGCAGGACAGTAGCTTTAAGATTTAACCCAATCACATCTTTCCCTGTATGGTTGGCCCCTCTGTACGAGCGGGTTCTGCATCCGTGGGCAGGTTAGGAATCCAAGGATACAGAGGACGGACTATCCTGCTAAGGCATTTTGTACAAGGGGCTCGAGCATCTGCGGATTTTGGTGTCCACACTGGGGGCGGGGAGCATATTGGAACCAGTACCCACAGATGCCAAAGGAAGGCTACAGAAGGCAGTTTTCACTTTTTTTTTTTTGCCACTTAGGGTGATGTTTGCAGGTTCTGGGGACTGGCATATGGGCGTGTCTTTGGGAGACCATTTTTCAAACCACTGCCCACATGCCTCCTTCCTGTGACCTGGGCACCAGTTATCCGATTGTCAGATGGCAGGTATTTGTGACCTTTTTACCAATGGCTCACTCTGAGATACTGAAAGTCAATTGCTCTTGTCTTTGACATGAAGAAACTAAAACATTCATTTAGTCCATATTCACATCTGCAACTTCCTGATCTTGTAGGCAGTTCCAAAGATGAGTCACCTCAGTTTCCAGAACTCTCTCCTTCTGGAGGCTGCATGAATCTCCATCACATCCCGTGTGGACCAGATGGGAACCCGAGATCAAAACTCTGCACAGACTGTGCAAGGCCTTCACTGGGTTCCTACACTCCACAGTGGGGAGGGGCGGGACCTGAGGCCTGGTCCCTTCTGCTTTTGAGGGGTCTTTTTGAAATGCAAAACCAGAGTTAGCTACAGGTCCCTCCTACCTCCCCCCCCTTTTTGAAACTTTTCTGTCTCAACTATCTATGATGGTTTAATATAAAAGCTATTTCTTAAGAATAAAGAAATCCCTAAAATTCAAATGATGCATACAGATTACTTTTCAATTCATTTTACAATGTGTGATTTGTAAGTGCTCTTAAGATGTGATGATTTCCAGTTAAATCTGGGATCTGAATATCCTTATCTACCACCTGGAAAGTGTCTGAAGCAGAACTCTAAGAAAAATGAGAGAAATGAGTCCACATTGATGAATCATCAGGTCCCACAAAAGGAACAAAGTCCCTTTGTAAAAGACTGTTGCAGGAAATTCTGAAAAGGATGGGGCATTACATGAGATGAGGGCAGGGTGGTCTTAGAAAAAAAAGTTCTCCCTCAATAAAAACTGCCTGTTAGTTCGCCTGACAGTATTGTTTTCAATGCATATTTCCATGCAGTTGTTTTCAATGCATATTTATTTTTATTACAGACTTTAAAATATTGTTTGAGAAACATATCATACAAAAAGAGTGTCTATAATATAAATGTACAGCTTAAGATTAATAATAAAATGAACATAAAGCCTTTTTTTTTTTTTCAGAGCAGTCGGCTTAGAAAGGCTCAATATTACTGGGGTATGAAACACTTGACATTCTATTGTGGAAATGCCAACACACAAATTATCCTTGTTCGTGTTTTATTGCTGTTGCTCTGTGTTTCCCCGTATAATGCTGTGCAAACATTTTATCAGAAATGGTGGAGGGAAGAAATCCCCACTGTTAAGCACAGCCGAGTAAGTGATTTGGTTGCCGAGATTACAGCTTCTACAGTTGGATGGTTATGTTGTTCTCTATACTCATCAAGGGGCGAGAATAACATATTGAGGGTGGTTATAAAGAAGCAGAGTGGAAGTTAAAAAGGCAATATGCCATAATCTTTTCGCCTCCCTGGTTTCTTCATATGAACCCCATTGTGAAAATACTACACTGGCTCAGCCCTCAGACAGGCTGAAATTTTAACACAATCCAGTAGCCATGGGACCCGATGTGTCTGGACACATGAAGGCCCCAGGCAGGATTTGGTCCAAAAGCCCAGAGAGCATCAGTCTTGGCTACCTTCTCACGACTTCTGTCCCTGGGTTTCTTCCCCCATCACGTGGGCAGTATAATGAGATAAGCCTACCTTTGTTGTGAGGATAAAGTGAGTCAACGCAAGTAAAGCCACTGATGGCCCATGGGCCTTGGTGAAAGCTGATTGGCTGTACTCACGCTGACATGGAATCCCAGGCCAGCTCCTCCCCTGCCTCCCCTCCACTCCAGCCTCAACCTTGACCGCTGACTTGCCAGCTTTGTCCCTGCTCCACCGACCAGCCAGCGATACTCATGCCTCCTCACCCTGTTGTCAACAAAAGCCTCCTCCTCCCTAGACTTGAATAGACATTGCTCCAAAGAGGACATACAGATGGCCAACAGGCATGTGACAAAATGTTCAATATTGCTAGTTATCAGAGAAATGCAAATCCAAACATCAATGAGATGTCACCTCACACCAGTCAGAATGGCCATCATCAAAAAATCCACAAAAACAAATGCTGGAGAGGGTGTGGAGAGAAGGGAACCCACCTACCCTGTTGGTGGGAATGTAAATTGGTACGGCCACTTAGGAGAACAATATGGAGTTTCCTTAAAAAACTAAAAACAGAGCTACCACATGACCCTACAATCCCACTCCTGGGCATATAACCAGAGAAAAACATGACCCAAAAGGATACATGCACCCGAGTGTTCATTGCAGCACTGCTTACTATAGCCAAGACAAGGAAGCAACCTAAGTGTCCATCGACAGATGAATGGATAAAGATGCGGTACATGTATACAATGGAGTATTACTCAGCCACTAAAAAGAATGAAACAGTGCCACTTGCAGCAACCTGGATGGACCTTGAGAGTGTCATACTCAGGGAAGTAAGTCAGAGAGAGAAATAACCTATGACATCCCTTATATGTGGACTCTAAAAAGAAATGATACAAATGAACTTCCTTACAAAACAAAGACTCACAGACTCGGAAGACCAACTTATGGTTCTCAGCAGGGCAAAGGATTAGTTAGGGAGTTTGGGAAGGTCAAGTACACACTGTTAACTTCTCACGCCTCCTGTCCCTGGGTTTCTCCCTCATCACGTGGGCAGGATAATGAGATAAACCTACCTTTGTTATGAGGGTAAAGTGAGTTAACACAAGTAAAGCCCCTGATGGCGGATGGGGCCTTGGTAAATTCTATATTCAAAATGGATAACCAATAAGGACCTACTCTATAGCACACAGAACTCTACTCAATGTTATGTGCCAGCCTGCATGGGAGGGGGATTTGGGGGAAATGGATACACGTATATGTGAAAACAAAAACAAACAAACAAACAAATGCCTCCTCCTCCGTTTGACAGCACATCACCCACCTTATTTCCTTGGCCTGTATCACTGTCTGAACTTAACATATTTATTCATGCCTGTGCTAATGGTCTGTCCCCCATGGGGTGACCATCTTTTTCCAGTTTACCCAGGACTTACCCAATCTTTTTTTTAAAGATTTTTTTTTTTTTTTTGGAATGTGGACTTTTTAAAGTCTATTGCGTCTGTTACAATGTGGCTTCTGTTTTACATCTTGGTTTTTTGGCCACAAGGCATGTGCGGCCCCAGCTCCTCCACGAGGGATCAAACCCACATGCCCTGCATCAGAAGGGGACGTCTTGACCACTGGCCCACCAGGGGACCCAAGCCTTGCCCAGTTTTAGCTGCAGATTGCCACATCCGGGGATGGAGTTCCACATCCGGGGACAGAGTTCCACATCCGGGACGCTCTGGGAGGTCAGACCCTGCTTCCCCACCTCCGTCTTCCCGGACTGAGCAGTGCCGGGCGCACGCACAGGCGGCCTTTTGTCGAGCATTTGCCGAGTGAGTGAGTCGCTGAGCCCCTGGGTGAGGGGGAGCAGAAGAGGGGCCTGAGCCCGAAGTTCCGTCTCCCCGCTTGACGACAGCAGGCCTGGAGTCCGCTCCAGCTCGCCACACACGCCGACCGCACCGCGTCCGCCCCGAAGAAGCTTTGGCTCCGAGCCCACTGCCTGCCTCCTGGCAGCATCACGGGTGTGGACGTTCCTGGACGTTCCTGGCTCCTTAGCTCCCGAGACGCCTCCAAGCCCAGCAGCTGTTTGGCATCTGAGATCAACACACCCAAGTGTCTGGAGGCCCCGGGCGGGCAAGGCCAGAGGGAGGTTCTGGAAGCTGGCCTGGCGACGCTCGTCAGTTCCTCATGGCGGAGGGGGTCAGTGTCAGAGTCAGAGGTGGCCCGCCAGGCTCTGAACTATCCCCAGCCTCCGAGCTGAGATCCGGGGAGCGCTTGTGAACAAGGACCGCTGACCCTCGAACAACGACTTGACCTGCTGCTAAATCGCTTCAGTCGTGTCCAACTCTGTGCGACCCCATAGACCGCAGCCCACCAGGTTCCCCCATCCCTGGGATTCTTCAGGCAAGAACACTGGAGTGGGTTGCCATTTCCTCCTCCACTGCATGAAAGTGAAAATCAGTGAAAGTGAAGTCGCTCAGCTGAGCGACCCCATGGGCTGCAGCCTACCAGGTTCCTCCATCCATGGGATTTTCCAGGCAAGAGTCCTGGAGTGGGGTGCCATTTCCTTCTCCACGACTTGACCTGAGCAGGTCCACTGACAGCTGGATTTTTGTCACTAAATACGGTCCACAGCCGCTTCCTTTCACAGATGTGGAAGCTCGCACACATGGGTCAACTGTAAAGTTATACGTAGACTGTCAGCTTTGAGGGGTCGGTGCTCCTAACTGCTGCATTGTTCAAGGGTCAACTGTATTCTAAACAAGAACAAAAGAAACTAAAGAACTGTCCTGAGGAGAAGAAAACAGAGGCTACTGGAAACTTAAAAATGAGTGTGGAGAATATTGTAAAACTGGGTTTCTCTCTCTGGTGATTAGGAAGCCCTTGCCTTTGCCTTTCTAGTTAGAGATGCAAATTCAAATAGAATTCATCCCGTATCTAAGGGAACTACGCTAGGATGACCTGGTAAACACATTATCCATCTAGAAGGGAATATTTATCTGGGTGACTGTGAAATTTGTACTTCGTTTTCTCCATCTATTAAGTCGCAGTGGATTTCTCTACCCACACTTCCTCATGAAGATATTAGTTATCATGTGATGATCAGCCCGATCCTATGGGTTGAATGAAAACAGCGCTTTCTCAGGGAATGTGTTAAGTGGGTCGGGCCATTCCGGTTGAGCGAATAAATCAATTTCAGTTGTCAGGTAGGTTTCCTGCTGCTCCAGAAGTTTTTGCAACAAGGAGAATTTACTTTCTCTTTATCAACAGAGACAGTCAAAGCTCAGAGCTACTTGAGTTCTTCTTAAGAAACAGCCTAAAGAATCATGGTGACTAACATTGGTAAACGTAAGATCCATCCTTTAACCTAGCAGGGTAAGCTATTTTAGAATCTAGCCTTTCGGGACGTCTCTGGTGGTCCAGTGGTTCAGAATCACCCTTCCAGTGCAGGGGATACATACTGGTTCCATCCCTGGTGGGAGAACTAAGATCCCACATGCCTTGGGGAAATTGAGCCCTTGCACTGCCAAAAATAATTCTTTAAATTTAGCTACTTAATATGAGGGAAGGAGCGTATTAGGCTGAGCATGGTGGGACAGAGACCCCAAATGCATCCGTGGTCCAGCTGGGGACACAAACCAGAGTGACTGCTCCTCTGAGGAAGTGCTTCTGAGGCTTTGGTTCCTTGTCCAGCACTAACACCGGACTTCTCGCTCCTCTCCCTGCAAACCCCGCTTTGAGGTCACCCTCCCTTCTCCCCTTCGCTTCTCTTGGTGCCTAGACGCTCCTGACCTCCCAGAGGCCATTCCTGAAGCCCAGCTCAAAGGCCGTCTCCTCCACGAGACCCCCCTCCAGGCCCTCCCAGCCGGGGAGCATCTCTCCCCGCCTCCCCCAGTCGCTGCCTCCATGCAGGTTCTTGAAGTCTCTTCTCGCATCATAGCAGTTCGTGGGTCTCCTTTCCTCCAACAGCAAGCTTCCTGAAACTAGACCCCGCGTCTTGTTAATCGTTGGACTGCCTGGAGCCTGGCGGAGGGGCTGAGCCCTGCCGTGGTGCTGTAATTACTTGCTGGATTGAATCCGCGTGGGAGAGCAGCTGGGAAATCTACAAGCCGCCTGGGAGCAGGAGCCTGCGTCCCGAGGAAGCAGGACCCCGGTGCTGACAGCAGTCAGGGCAGGTTTCAGAGGTTAGGTCAGCCCTGGGCCTCAGACGAGTGGGCTGTGGTTCACAGCAGAACTGTTCTGCTCCGAACACATGTGATCGACATCGTCTGCATGATGTCATTCATCTAGAGATGCAGAATCTTCGCCGGCCAGGGTTCCTCTCGTGGGCATCCACCTTTGCCCTGGGCGTAGGCAGGCTTGGTGCCTGAGTCCTGCGGAGTGCTCAGACGCAGGGCCTGGGCCGGCTTCGTCTCAATGTCGGGGAAAGGGGAGCCCGGAATGAAAGCCAGCAGGGCACCACAGCGATGCGTCTGATCACAAGAAATCACACGGAGGAAGAGCCTCCCATTCCCATGGAAAAACTGACACCTTTCCCCACCAGCTGTGTGCGTGCGGGAGAGACGGGGAAATTTGTAATAATTTGCAAGTTTGCCCAGAGGATGGAGTTGTGTCATTTTTCCTGCAACAATCTGTGCTGCTGGCTGAGAGAGTGGAATTTCTCCCTGGATTGAGCTGGCGATTATTCACGGACTGTGCAAAGACCAAAAACAGTGGCTTGTGCAAATCTGCCCAAGAGAGAGCCGAAACTGGAGGTGGACGGAGTCCCTGGCTGCCTGCGGCTGCTCCTCGCTGACTTCCCGGGGTCCCTTCCTTCTCTTTGCTTCACCCGGCCCCCTGACTTCACTGGCCCCCTGCCCGCTGGCCTGACCTCTTGACAACCATCCTTGGGCAGTTCCTTCCTGGGCCCTGGGCTGCAGCCTTGTCTTCCACACCCAGAATGCCTTTCTTTGCAGGCGCCTCGGAGACAAACAGGGCGGTAACCTGGGAAACGCACCCCGGGCCCAGCAAAAGGGAGGCAGGTGTCAGATTGCTGAGAGGGGTGCTGTCTGTGTTTCAAACAGGCTCTGGAACTAGGAAAGCCAGAGCTCGCCCCCCCCCCCGTGCACCCCCAAGTGTAGAGTGGTTGAATAATAAAGCTGGAAGAGACTCCCCCCGGCCACCAGCAAGCCTGTCCTTTCTTTTTTTTCTTTTTAATATAAATTTATTTATCTTAATTGGAGGCTAATTACTTTACAATATTGTATGGGTTTTGCCATACATTGACAAGAATCTGCTACGAGTGTACATGTATCCTCATCCTGAACCCCGCTCCCACCTCCCTCCCCATCCCATCCCTCTGGGTCATCCCAGTGGACCAGCCCCGAGCACCCTGTCTCATGCATTGAAACTGGACTGGTGATTCATTTCACATATGATAATACACATGTTTCAGTGCCATTCTCCCAAGTCATCCCACCCTCGCCCTCTCCATTTCAGGCACCTTCTTCTCTGACCCAGTCCTCCAGGTAGAGTGAACCTGAGACTTAGCGCCGGCCCTATGAATATACTTACTGCCTGATGCGGAGTCCAGGAGATGATTTCTGCGTCTGTCTGTCTTACTCTCTAGCTCAAGCCCATTTTTTTTCCCCCATAATTTTACTTATTTACCTTTTTTTGGTTGTGATGGGTCTTTGTTGCCTTTCGGAGGCTTTTCTCTAGTTTCAGCAAGCGAGGGTTACTCTTGCTGCAGTGCGTGATCCTCCCCCTGTGCTGGCCCTCTCGCTGTGGAGTGCGGGTTCTGGGCTGTGTTCTCCAGTAGTTGCGGTCTCCAGTCTCTAGAGCACAGGCTCAGTAGTTGTGATGCACAGGTTTCGTTGCCCCGTGGCACATGGGGTCTTCTGCACCAGGAGCTGAATCCGTGTCCCCTGTGTTGGCAGGTGGATGCTTATCCACTGGACCAGGGGGAAAGTCCCCAGGTCCACGTTTACACACAGGCGCTGTCTGTGTAGATCGACTCTTGAAAATCTGCCAGAATTGGGTTCCCAGGCAAAATACAGGAGGCCTGGTTAAATGTGTCATTTAAATAAATATTGAATCATTTTCGGTATAAGTCTTCGCCAAATATTGCCTGGGAGATGGCTATACTAAAAAAAGATGGGATGTTTATCTGAAATTTAAAATGATCTAGGTCCTGTGTCTTTCTTTGCTACCTCTGGTCATCTTAGCCAAGCAGGCCTTGAGCCTCTCTCTGACGCTCAACCACGAGGCACCTGCTATGCATCTGAGCAGCGGGCATTTCTAAGGCCTGGTAGACCAGTTAGCTGATGCCACCAAAAGGCTGTTCAGTGAATGATCCCAGAATTCAGTGCCTTAAAATAGCATTCCTTTCTCTTTGTGGACCTCTGGGCCCAAGGGGGACTTCCTGGTGGGTCAGAAAATAAAGCATCTGCCTACAATGAGGGAGACCTGGGTTTGATCCCTGGGTCGGGAAGATCCCCTGGAGGAAGGCATGGCAACCCACCCCAGTACTCTTGCCTCCAGAATCCCATGGACGGAGGAGCCTGGCGGGCTACAGTCCCTGGGGTCACACAGAGTCGGGCCCACGGGGTCAGCTGCTCCAGGTGTCTCATTCCCTCCCCGAGACCCGTGAGCCAGCCCAGGCCGGTCAGTGGAGGAGCCCAAGAGCAAAGCCGGACGCACACGACTGTCAAGCCCAGGTCACACATGACCGAGCACAGTCGCGGGACTGGGAAATGTAAATGGTGTGGATCCAAGGGAGGGTGAAGAGTTGAGCCACACACTCTCTGCTATGAGAAAGGCCCAGCCAGAAGGCATGCGTGCCAAGTCGCTTCAGTCGTGTCCAACTCTGTGCGACCCCATGGGCTCTACCCCACCAGGCGCCCCTGCCCATGGGACTCTCCAGGCAAGACTAGTGGAGTGGGTTGCCATGCCCTCCTCCAGGGCATCTTCCCGACCTGGGGATCGAGCACGTGTCTCTTACGTCTCCTGCGTTGGCAGGCGGGCTCTTTACTACTAGCGCCACCTGGGCTCTGACCCCACTTTGCTGCTTAGCAGCCACGAGACCCAGGAAAAGTCTCTCTGAACCACTGTCTCCTTATCCCTGAAACAGGGTTTAGAGTGACTTGACTAAGGGACCACTAAATGGTCACCGTAGCATTATGGCCTAGAACAGTGGTAATACAAGTACTGCAGGCTAACCAGTTGTGCCACTAGCCATTAAAATGAGTGAAATTATGCCATTGGCAGCAACATGGATGGATCTGGAGGTCATCATAGCAAGTCAGACAGAGACAAGTTTCACATGACATCCCTTATATTCAGGGTCTTAAAATGATACAAATGAACTCACACACAAAACAGAAGCAGAGTCACAGATGTAGAGAACAAACTTAGGGTCACCCGAGTGGAAAGCAGGGGAAGGGGTCAGCTGGGAACTTGGAGTTAACATGTACACGTGACTAAATACAAAATAATAAACAAGGACCTGCCGTAGAGCACAGGGATCTCTGCTCGGTATTCTATAATAACCTAAATGGGAAAAGCATTTGAAAAACAATGGATGCATGTATATGTATAACTGAACCATATTGCTGAACACCTGAAGTTAACACAACTCTGTAAACCAACTCTACTCCAACATAAATATAAAATAAAAATTAAAAAGAAGAGGGCAGGGGTGATCGAGGGAGGCCATGGTGTAGCTGTGACTGCCAGCGTCCAGCTCCTCACGTCTAAACTTCTGATTTTCCTCCGGGGATTCCAGCGGGGTGTACCGGGAACCGGGGTGTGGGTTCAGCCGTGCAGCGGGCAGGGCACCGGGCCTGTTGTGAGCTGCCCCTTGGACGCTGGCCCCCGCCCCGCAGCCTGCCCCCCACGGCGGGAGCAGCAGGCGGACAGGCTCAGCCCCCGCTACAAGCCACCCCTCCCTGCGGCAAAGGCAAGGCTGAGTGGCTCTCAGCCGCATCTGCTTCTGAAACCAAGTTCCTTCCTTCTCCAGGAGGGATCTGCCCTCAGGGGCCGACGGCGTCTCTGAGTTCCGGCTCGGCTCGGGGCTCAGCTCTAGCGCAGCTCTGTCTGTGGGACCTCGGTTCCCCAACCAGCAATCTCGCGAAGCCGCGCCCCCTGCACTGGGAACTCAGGTCTTAACCACTGAACTGCCAGGGAAGTCACTGGGCTCTTCAGCTTACCGGCTGTGCCTCCTCTATAAAACAAGCAGAGTCACAGAAGCCACCTTCTGGACGGCTCTTTGCGGGAATAAATGCGCTAACACAGTGCAGTCCTGTTTAGGAGAAGGTCTGTTCCATCGTATGGACTCCATGAATGTTGGGCAGGGAGACCCTGTGAGATCCTGGCTGTGATTTTCACTATCATTAGTATTGCATCCTAGACTTGTTTCATGGTTGGGATAGACTAACTTCTCTCCCTGAAGATTTAGTTCCTTTTTTTTTTTAAGTTTCCTTCTGCTTCCTGCATATTGTCGTCTCTGAATCCCTTCGTTTCTCTTTGTCTGCTCTCTCTTTGTTCCCTTGAATGTCTGGTGGTCTGGGTGTCTGCGTGCATCCTGAAGGGTGAGACAGGAAGGTGGTGAGGGACACCAGCCTTCAAAACAGCACCCAGCGATTGGCACCCCCTGGTACTGGCCCCTCCTACGTAGGTCCCTCCCAAAGTGACCAGAGTGGCCTGGGTCACCAAGATGATACAGCAGAAATGATGGGGTGTGACCTCCAGGGCTAGGTCGGGAGAGACACGGGAGCTCCCAGCTTGCTGTCTGGTACCCTTCTCTGCCATGCTGTGCAGAGACTCGGGCGGCCCGTGGGACGTCTGTGGAGAAGAGCCAAGGGCTCTTTCCAGCAGACACCAAGGAAGGGAGCCGTCTGCAAGGGGGCACCTCCAGCTCCCGTCAGCAGTCTGACCTCGTGAGCAACCTTCAGCCAGAACACACAGCGAAGCCCTTCCAGAACTCTTGATGGCGAGGTAATAACCATCAACTTTTGTTCAAGGTCTCAGCATCGCCAGGAGACTTAGTACACAGCAATAGGTCACTAACACAAGAAGGGTAGTTGGCTGGCTGGGTAGAGAAGGCAATCTGGGTGTCCAGCTGCTCACCAACTAAACTTTCAATCAACCCCGGGTGAAGCCCCACCCCACACACCAGGACTTAGAGGTCCTTGACCCTCCCATCCTGAGACTTTCTAGAGTTCTGCCAAGCCAACATGTCCCTCGTTTGTAAGAAGTAGGCTTCAATTTCCCAGTTCTGCAGAAGTAGTTATCAGTTTTCCTTTTGCTTTCCCAAAATTTCATTGTTGTGGCTCATCTCTGCCATCTCCTCTCTCGTCCTCTTTGGCCTTGTGGGTTGTATCGCTGTTTTAAATTTGCTGTCATTTAGCAGGGTGTGGGAGAGGGCAGAGTTCAGGTGCGTGTCCCGTCTGCCACATTTGGTCCCACTCAGAGGCGGTCTTCCAGCATCTGA